CTCGCGGTGCCCCTTGTCTGCTGGAGACGGTCCCCAGCAGACCAGGGGCACCGGGAGCAGCTTTTCTCGCCCCGGAGGTCGAGGTGGCTGACCGCTGCCTTCGAGCTCCGGGGCGAGAAAGCCACGTTCGTAAGTGCGGATCCGACGTAAGTCGGATCTGCGTAAGTCAGGGACTGCCTGTATACAGTTCATAAGATCCTCACCTCAGAAGCCTCATTCAGACTTCTCACACTTTAGAATTCACAGAACGGAGTCTTTGAGGATATAGTTGCACCACAACTGAGAGAGGTGTGATTCCCAGAATGGGTAGACAAGTTCACACTAGTTTCAGTCAAGATAGTGCATTACGTATATAGCAACATGAATGTTGTGGCACTAGCAGCAGCTTGAAATAAAGCCATTGCTGTTGCAAGTAAGAGGGGATTAAAGACTGATTCTGAAAACATTTAGCCTATGTCTACACTGCAAGCTTTTTGTGCAAGAACACTTGTTCTTGTGCAAAAACTTGCTGAGAATCTACACTGCACGCGCATTCTTGCACAAGTAAATTTACAGTAAAGCATCAAAAACAGGGCTTCTTGTGCAAGTTATTCCTCTCCCCGTGAGGAATAAGCCCTCTTGCCCAAGGGCTCTTCCACAAGAAGGCAGTGTAGACAAGCAACAGGGGTTTCTTGTGCAAGAAAGCCCTATGGCTAAAATGGCCATCAAAGCTTTCTTGTGCAAGACAGTGTCCACACTGCCATGGACGCTCTTGCGCAAAAGCACATCTCTTCCACAAAAGCACATGGCAATGTGGACGCACTCTGGTGGAAGACCTTTCGCACAAGAACTCTTACGCAAAATGGTTCTTGCACAAGAAGCCTGCAGTGTAGATGTAGCCTTATTGCTGCCCTGCACACTCTCAGGAATGTCTATCAGGCGCAGAACCTGTATACAGCAAGACAGATCCTTGGTGGTGCCTGCCCGCACAGCTCTAGGGAAGTAAATGAAGCAAGGCTCATTTGACACCAGCTGATAGAAGACTGAGGATGAGAAGAGTCATAAGTTCCAAGGCAGCTAGTCTGAGCCCCTGCAGAGCGCACAACATCCCCTAGGTAGGCTGAGGAGCTCACGGGAGTCAGTGGGACTGTCCCCCGAATCAAGTTCAGCCCGGCCATGTCTCAGCAGTTGCAGTAGGGGCCCCACAGCAGAGAAGGCGGCGGAGGGCGGAGCGCCCTGCCAGCTGTGCGCATCCCGCCCCTCAGAGCTGCTGCGAAGGCGGGTGAGGAGGGAGCTGGCGGGCAGCGGGCAGGAGGATGCTGGTGCACGGGCACCCCATCAGGCCCCACGTTTCACCGCAGTTTCCGGGGCTGGTCGGGGGACGCCAGGCTCGAGCTCCCGCTGTAATCGTGCGTCCCACCCCGAGGCCCTGTCCAGAGCGGGCCGGGGGCGGGGCCCAACCCCTCCTGTTGCCACTGA